TATGATAGTCTAGAGAAGGGGTTGGCAACGTTTGGCATGCGACTACCAACAGGAAACATGCTCAAAAGACCCACCCCAGCAAGTTGGGCTGTGTCCTTTCCCTTGGGTTCTTGAAACCAGCAACCCAAGGATCACCAAAGTCTCAAAAGTCCAACAACCCCCCCAAAAGTCTCTGTCCCTGGTCAGTGCAGCCCCAGAGTTCGGGGGGGGGGCACGCAGGGTGTTAAGGGGCACCTTACGTGATCCGAGGCCGACGGGGTTCCGCCACAGCCTTCACCACGAGCCGCTCCACTCCACCAGCTGCCCCGTGAGCTGCTCCCGCTGTCCCACGAACTGCTCTGGCAGCTGCTCCACTCTGCTCACCAACCTGTGAGCGGCTCAGCTCTGCTCCACTTCAGCCGTCCCTTGGGCCGCTCCCACAAGGCTCTACTCTGCTCTGCTCGCTGCTCCTCCAGCCGCTCCGCTCCACTCACCGACCTGTGAATCGCTCAGCTCCACTCCAACCATCCTGCAAGGTTCCACTCTGCTAGCTGCTCTGCCAGCCGCTTAGCAATATAGCTTCAGGCTCCCCCACTAGTTAACACAGCCTCAGTGATCTCAGCTCTTAATAACTTCAGCTCTTTTATGATTTCAGCTCTTAGCAATTTCAGCCCATAGTAGGGGAGCCCCAGTGCTAGTGCACTATTGGCCCAAAGTGAATTCAGCTCAGCAGTCTGTAACTAGACTTGTAATGGAATCAAAGTTAGCTCTGATATTCAACAGTGGAGAGAGAAGGTAGTGCAATTGGTGTTTCAACCCCTCAGAGAAAGGGGGGGCCTATCCCATCAGATATAAATACCTGTCCCCATTCTATCTCCCTTCATTGGGTTTTGTAACCCATGCCCCTTGTCAAGCAAGTGCTACTTAGGTAATGGTGAAGGACTCACTCAGTCCTTCTGTCATACAACAGTTTCACTGGCCTTGATTCACAGAATCAGGGTAACAAAACTTTATTCTTCCTGCCCCAATAATAGAGAAACTGGGGATCCCACACCAGCCAAAGTAACCACTTTGAGTTGCTGTTGTTTCATGCCAGGCGAGTGGGTGTGCCTATGCAAACCAGATCAGCCCCTGGAGTTCTTTTCCACCCTCGCCATAATTCACCACCAGATGTCAGGGTAGAGCCCATCCTGACTCTGCTTACATCAGCAATGTCTAGCTTCTTCATTGTTGCCCCTGAAAAGCTGGTTGTGGGTGTTCCCAACCCCACCACATCTTTCAGTAACACACAGAGCAAAACTTCATAACTGCACATACAATCCAACAGGATATTAATGTTCAACAGATCAAAACTTTTAGAATGATACTTCACAAGGTATACTTTGTACAAAACGCATCATAATCACATCCCCATGGTAAATATGGGGGTGTCAGGGTGTTGCTTTGGGGTACAGCGTGTCAGTCTCCCTCTAGGCTGGCTCAGGAAGGGCCTGCTCCTTACTCGGTGTTAACAAAGCAGCTCCCTTAGCTCCAGTGACAGGGCTGTGCTGAAGGTCTCCAGTTCGATCCCCATTGCTGGCTGGCATGTGGCCAGCGAGTCGCTGCACAGGTCCTGATGGGGGCGCTGGAGCCCCGTGTAATGCCGTGTGGGGCACTGAGTGAACGTGGATCTGCCTGTGAGGCTGGGACCTCCCTGTGCTCTGGGGGGCTGGGGGAACTGTGGTTTCTGCTCTGTCGTTCCCCTGCAATGCTCTTTAGTGCTTTGCCCTGTAGCTATTGTGGGAGCAGTTGCTCCAGGTCGGCATAGAACAGGGGCAGGTCACAGACCCAGTACCCAGCAGGGCTGTTTCTGGAGCATGGGGACAGGGCAAGGCCGTCTGTGGGGACCTCAGCTAGGAGCCAGGGAAGGCTTCCTCTCCTCATGGAGCTGGGGGAGGGGAAAGCCCGTTAGCAGGAGTGCCCAGCTGGGCAGGCGCCTCCCCAGGGCACCTATTATGCTAAACCCTGGCTGCGTCTCTATGGGAAGCTGGGCCTGGAAGGAGGGACAGTCAGAAATCTTCTGGCTTTCCTGCCAGTCTCCCTCTGTGAGGCAGGTTTTCCAGACCTCATGGCGTTCTTGGAGCTCTTTTCCGAGCTCTCCAATTTGTTAACGGCCTGTCTGAGGAGAGACCCCAGACCGGGACATGGTGCCCAGTGCTGGTCTCACTAGTGCCGTATACGTGTAACACCCCCTCCCTGCTCCAAGGCGATCGCCCTGTGCTTACACGTTCAAGGCTCACACCTGCCCTCTTGTGCAGCACGGCACGGAGAGCTCCCATTCGGCTGGTTGCAGCCATGACCCCTGGGTGCTTTTCAGTGCCGGCTCCCAGGCTACATTCCCCGGCTGTCAGTGCAGCCGGCTGCCTTGGTTCCTGGCCGTGAGACCCTGCATTTAGCTGTATTAACGCACACGGGGATCAAGTCAGCCCAGCTCACCGTGCGATCCCGATCCCCGTATAGACCTGACGTGTCCGTCACTATTTCCCGCTCCAGCAATCTCACTGTCACCGGCAGCCTTCACCCGCACTGGTTTTGTATTGTCTCCCAGATCCCTGAGACAGAGACTGAATAGCCCTGGGCCGAGAACAGGCCCCGATCCCTGTTTAACTGGCTTTGTTTCTTCTTGTCCCAGGCTGAGTGCCAGCACCACTGGCACGGGACTCATCTCGCCTCCATTCACAGTGCTGGAGAAAATAATATGATGGCCCATTATATCAAGCGGTACCACAGAAACAGCGGTCCGGTCTGGATCGGACTGTTCGATTTTGAGCAGGTGAGTGCCCGGTGCCCGCTCTGCCTCGGGCAGCCCCTCCCCAGGCCCCTGGGCTCTGTGTCTCTGCTCAGTGAGGTTGTTGTTTGGGGCGGGGGTGCCACCAGAGCAGGATTTCCATGGGAACGGGGTGAAAAGGGGCTGTAACCGCCTGGGTTTCCAGTCACAGGGTCGATCCCCAGCGCCCGGTGCAGAGTGTGAACTGTTGGTATTAATATTCACGTTCGTGACACTAGTGCCCAGGGACCCAGCACACCGGCCCGTTGTGCTCAGACCGTACACGCCCGGCACGAGAGTCAGCCCCGCCCCACACAGATGAGACGTCTCGACGAGGGCTCGGGGAAAGGGGCAGCCCCACGGGCAGAGCGACCAATGCGAGGGCACAGAGCCCTGGGAGTGCTGTCGCTCTGTGTGTATTCGTCCTCAGGGTGGGCTTAGTGAGGGGGGGGTCACCTGGCCAGAGGCGCTCCAGCTCCAGGCGTGTAGGGGGAGCCCCGGTGGGTCCCGATTCCCACCCAACACAGGCTCAGGGCAGGGCAGTGACTGGGGCTGGCGGGAATGGGGAGGTTGCAGATCGCCCCGAGATACAGAGGCGTAATCACTTACAGCTCAAAGTGAGCAACCGCGGCTCTTGTTTGGCCCCTGGGCCAGTCCAGTCGCCAGTCAGGGCCCTGCAGGCCAGTGCCTGTGGGGAGGGAGGGGAGCTCTCCAGTCCAGTCTCTAGTCCAGAAAACAGCCACGTGCAGATTTCCAGGCCAGGCTCAGTCAGTGTCTTTCCCTGGGGCCCTGCCCAGCTGCTGCGGATGCCCCATAAACCCTGCACAGAGCTGCCCCCGGCTGCAGTGTCTGGCACTCACAGTCTGCTCCACACGCTGCTTCCCGGCTCCTGGTGCTGCTGGTGCTGCACGCTGTTCCTCGGTGGGGTCCTCTGCATCCAGCTTCTCTGCTGCTCCGGGCTCGCTGTGCCGCTGCTTGTCCCCGAGCCAGGCCAACCCCTGCTTCCCCCAGCAGAGTTCCTGCCTCATTCGGCTCACAGGGCGCGGGGGGACCCGGGGGAAGGACGCCGGCAGGGATACTGTGTGTGGTCGTGTGTGTGACGTGGGACTTGCATGGACAAATCTTCTATTTAATCCACACACCCAGCTGCCGAGGCTGAACGGGACGTTTCTGAGAGCTCTGCGCTGGGTGCACGTGGTGGGTGCTGCTGGCCCTGCTGGCCGGCCGGCAGCCGGAGAGCAATGCCGCCAGTGGTACCAATGGGAGACGGGGGAGCTCCGTGGGCAGCACTGCTGGGCAGCACAGACGCACCCTGCTGCAGCCGCTCCTGTCTGGCCCCAGAGCGCGGGAGAGGCTGGTGTTTCGGGGGGCAGTGACGGCGCAGACTCCTGCACGAGGCTCCCTCCAGCCAACAGGCTGTCGTCACTTGCTAAACACGCCCGACTGCTCTTGGCCTCCTCACTTCTCACCGTGATAAAATGCCAGAGACAGAGACCTCCTGGGCCACGTCGCAGCCTTTCACCCCTCGGGGGGTCAACTGAGCCTGGGGCAGCGTCAGCCTCTGCCCCTCGGCAGCTCCGCCTGCACCCGCCCACTGAGGAGCTGCCAACCGAGGGACACAGCCCCGTACAAAACCCTGGGGAATTAATAACCCAGAACTCCCTTCAGGGACAGGGAAGGGGGGATCAGGACCCACCCGAATCCCTGAACACACGGACAGAACAAGGGGATTGTCGCCAACATTCCCGGCTCCTTCCCATCGGCTGAGGTGCTGGCAGCCCACTCCAGGCGCATACGACGTCTGCTTCCCTCCCCAGCAAACAGCCCAAGGGAACACACGATAGAGGCGGGGCCGTGGGTGGTCAGGCTAATGGTCGGAGCAGGAGCAGGAAGCGGATCCAACACAAGGGTCAGAGCCGGAGTCAGGAATTAATAGCCAAGCCGAGGGTCAGAGCCAGGAGGGGACCCAGGCGGCACATCAAGGGTCAGCGCCGGAGCCCAGGGGCAGGGTAAGGAAGCCGGGCCCAGGAGCAAGCCGAGGCGGCCAGGACTGAGCAGGAGCAAGGCTGGGAAACAAGCAGGAGCAGGAGGAGGAGCAGGGCTGGAGCAGGACAGGAGCCCGGCGAGGAGCAGCAGCACAGGGAGGATCGCGGCCGTGGCATGACCACACTGAGCAGCCAGAGAGCTGCTGGGCTAAGAGCCGGCCAGCTGCCCTTCCTGCCCAGGCAGGGGGTGCAGTCAGTCAGGTGGCCTGCAGCCGGCTGGCTGCGCTGGTTGGGTTTCCAGGTGACT